CAGGTGAAAGATGCGTTATCTTACTAAACTTGTCCACGATGACTAGAATGCCTGTACGCCCCTGTGCATCGGCTGGCAATTCAAAGAAGAAATTCATGCTTACGGAATTTCAAAGGCTCGTGGCTATCGGGAGAGGGCAAAGCGGGTCCTGTGCCGACGGGGCCGGCTGCAAACGCTGACACACCTCACAGATTGAATCCACTTGCGGCTCCACTTATACATGTGGGCCAATAGAATTTCCGAGAAAGCGCGAGATACGTCTTGTCGAGATTCAAATGGCCATTGCTGGCGCTATCGTGGTCCCCTTGGAGAACACGGACACGAAGATCGTCGTCGAGTGGAAGGACGATACGAGGAGTATCAAACTGATCAATTTGATACATGAACAACTTGCCATCAAAGGTGTATCGCGCAATGTGAGCGCGAGTGGAAGCTGAGAGCGAGCGCAATGCTCCATCTGAGGGGTCGCTATAGTAGTGAACGATCGGTGAGTAAAACACATCACGTGAAGACGCCTCTGCGATGTCATCACGCAACGGGTTGACCGCAGACACAGCAATCGTCGTCATCAGCTTCCGTCGTGGCCACTGCCGCTTTATCTTCGCGAGAATAATGGTCGAGTCTTCGCGATAAAAGCATATGCGATAATGTTTGTTGATCAAGACTTGTAATGTACCACAAAATTGTACACAGCGAAAAATGACAATTAGCGCGGCATACGCTGGCTGAGATGCGAACTCTTAGTCGCGGTTCGTAAGGACGCATGAACGGTGTAGATGATAAATGTCTGCTTTACAAGCAAGTAAATACGGAATTACACGAGTGCGTAACGCATCGCTAGCAGCTTCGTGCCGTGAATTGGGTAATTGCGCTCGTCAGGTTTTTAGTGCCGAGATCGGTAACACGCCACACGTTCGTTACCATTTTCATCATGCTGCAATAACGCACATCCTATAGCGAAGTAAGTCACTCGCATCGCAGACAATATGAAACGGGGTGTAATGATTATGCAGCGCTGATATTGGCGCTATCGAGAGTCTCGACTTGATCTCGTCAAATGCAGAGTGTTGCTCCTGGCGCCATATCCATATGGCGTCCTTCATTAGCAAATGTGACAGCGGATGCATCACGGACACGAAGTCCTTCGCATAGTAATTAAGGTAGTGAGCCAAGCTCAACCATTGACGGAGATGATTCTGGTCCTTTGGGACTGGCCAAGAACAAATTGACGAAACTTTTTTGGGATCAGCGTGAACACCCTTTGCACTAACATAGATACCCAGCACGGGAATCTTAGGGGCACAAAAGTTGCATTTCTTTAGGTTCGCGTAGAGTTCGTTCTCGCGCATCGCTTCAGACACCTTACGTAGGTGGCCTAGATGCAGATCCAGGTCTGTCGCGCCTTCAGTGGCGCGACTGTGGATGAAGATATCGTCATAGTAGCTCGGCGCAAAATCGCGAAATGGGAGAAGAACGTGAGACACCATACGGTTAGAAGTAGCAATGGCACTTTTGAGCCCCTGCGGTATTAGAAGCGACTCCCACAACATAGCGCTAGGCGTGCTGACGACTGTTAGAGGAACACCCTTAGGACGCATCAGGATTTGGTAAAAGCCGTCTGTCATATCTAAGGACGAGAAATCGTACTTCCAGACATGGTATCCAAAACCATGTCTTTCCGTGGAATTGGTGTCTGCACTGGAATTGTCGCATTGGATAGTTTGTTGGAAGCGTGAACGATACGCCATCCACCTGTACCCTTCTTGACACAGAAGGTGGGACTCGAGTGTGGCGATGTGCTCTCGCGCACGTGGCCAGCCTGATGATGCCCTTCGAGAAATACGTCAATCGCTATAGCCTGTTTACGTGGAAACGGCCATTATTAACGTGTCACGCAGTACCTTGACCAAGGGACGATATCTATCCTGTGTCGCACAGCTCTGTTGGCGGGAAGAAATGTCAGGAATGGTGTCAGGAAAGACATTCGAGAATTCGCGCGTGAGAGCGAGAACAGGGTTCTTCGATGCATCAAGTTCTTCCCACGATTAAGCCTCAAATCGCTCCTCGCGAGCAGACTTCGGGTTAATTTTCTTTCGGGCGATCATGATTTTGGAGTGCCGGAGCTTAAACGACACACAGTTGTTGGATCTTTCCCCGCCTTCAAGTTACGCATCATCTTTTCCCAAGGAAGCTCTGGGAGCTGCATAATTACAGACGCGTCGCGAGGCGGACTCGCGGCTTACAACGGATGGTTGGATGGACCAGCACCAGTCATATTAATGACATAAATGGTATCAAGAAGCGGAGCCAACGTGAGAGGGCTCGACGACACAGCGGAGCGGGGACGCGCACGGCGCCCTCTGCGTCGTCACGACACAGAAATGCGAATCGGATACTCAGCCGGACGTACGGAGTCCACTGCTTCCGCGTAACTCGCCAGAGGCCCCTGCCTCGGCGTGGTGTCCTCGGCTTAGTGTACTTAACGTAGATTTCCACTGCACGCTCGTGACGTACCGGAAGCCCCTGTTTCGGTATGGTTTAAAAAAATCGCATGCGCGGGGACCGCTGCTCGACCGTGCGACACCCGAAGCCACTACTGCGGGTAAGATTCTTGACTCAGGAACCACTGTTTGACTGAGAAGAAGCATGTTGCGGAGTTGTATACCACGCGCGAAGGGCCATCTCACACTTCGGGGGGTATAATGAGTCGTGGGATCGGGATCCACGACGGCAACATGCTACCACGTACTTTCAGGGCCATCAAGGACGGCAAGTACCGCGTTAATACCGATGTACTTGGCTATACCATACGATTCAGCCAATCAATGTCGGGTCGATTCCGCTCAATCCAAGGCATTACAAATTACAGTCAAAGGATTCACTCAAGTCAATAACTTAAACTCATCACTACTGGTAAAAGTATCGAGCCGGTAAGGGAACACGACCGAACGTTTCGGTGCGTGCGAGGCTTGCCGTCTGTATACTTAGCGAACATCTCCACAGGAGACTCACGAACACACAACCGTGAGGAGGGTATCGTCAGACTGTCGGCGCGGACAAAACTGTTTGTCGCGCCGGAGTCCATCAAAGCGCGAAGTGGACGCGACGCACCGTCAACGTGAACACTGAGCACGATCAAACGCGGATAATTGCTGGACGTGGTGGCATTCAGCTGTGCATAATACACAGCGGGGACAGGAGACCTCGTCGCCACCTTAGGCACGTTCTTCCGTCCTCGCCCATCAGGGCGCCCCGCCCTACTGGTTCTCACCGTTTTTTGGCTGCCCAGACGGAGACGTCAGACTCGGTGACAGCGAGCACTGGTGCAGGCGCGCTACAGACGGCTGCGCGATGATCAGGCTGACGACAAAGAAAGAATACCAGGTTCTTCGCAGTTGCTGACTTCCGAGAACTGTGACTGGAAGCACGCCTATGACCTGGGGCGTGCTCGATTGCATCGAGCTCCATTAGCTCAGGCTCCTGAGCAGCGCGTAGGGGAAGCGAGTGATCTGCTTGCGAAGCCAAGACACTGAAGTCTTCACGCAGCGCAATGCTGAAAGCCTCTTAAAGAGAAGCGGGAGGCTTCCGCCTTAAGTAAAAACGCTGATGCCCAGCATTAATCCCGGTCACAAATATATGGACTAGTGTCACCGTGGAGATAGGGTCGGCGACTATGCACGATGCCACATTGGATGTAGTCCAGCATTGACAGACTACCCTGCCGCAACGCAAGGAATGCGGAGCGATGGTGGTGCTTGTCTTGCGGAGACTCAAATACCAAGCGCAAGTCGCTCTTTAGGACCTGCATGTCCGGACAACATCCCGTATTGGCAACAAGCTTTCCCAATCCACTCTTTTGCCTTACCAGTCAACTTGGACAAAGGAAGTGGGTACGCGTGAACTCTGTCGCTAGCTGGCAGGCTTGAACAGCGATGTTCACTTCACAAAGCCAGCAATTGAGCACGAGACGCTTTGGGCACTCGCCGCTGTAACTCGTAACGTCGACTTAAATGACTTTAGACCCCGTGATATCTGCGGAAGCTGAAGCTTGCCGGCGTAATTTGGCGAGCTCGTGGCTGACGAAGTCTTGAATGGTTACACGTTGGAGCCGCTAAGGCGTATCTTTGGGCATGGCAACAACGGTAGTAAGTCCGGCCAAGTCGGCCAGGCGACGCAGAGCTTCCCACTCGAAAGGGGTCAGATGTTCGAAGCCATAGTGTGACAACACCCCTTCGCTAACGCTCTGTATCGGCGGAGCGCTCATATTCGTTGGAAGGACTACGAAGTGTTACCAGGTGTAATGGGGCTAAAGCTCCATTACTTACACACACTATTGGGGTTGGACCTCCCTTTAAAGGGGGAAGTGGGGATGTCAATTTTTTACGATTCAATTTTGCTTAAGTACGATACAGAAACCGATAAGTTAACCAGTTATAAAAATTGGCATCCACTGTACCCATAAGTGAGATCTGTAGTGCAAAAGTGTATGAAATTGTAAAAAGTGTGGCAATTCCCCAAGTAAAAGTACAATAATTACTTTTTCTACATATTATATGAAAATTGCTATCAGAGGGTACAGTTATGGTTAATAGTGGTGATAGGTGGTTATGTCCATTGACTGAGATTACAGTTCGTACACTTTTCCAAAAGTTCACGCACTGTCATCTCAGTAAGTGAGCTTTTGCAGTGAAATTCAGACCAGACACCATACGGATAGGCAATGTGTTGAAACATAGGAGGTTGTGGATGAAAGTTCAAAAGTGATTATTATCTTGTTAAAGAACTGATCTAGTGATCATTCCTTCCATTTGCAATCGTGCTGGCTAAACTATACTGTAATGGAATCAGTACTAACTGCACCCATCAAACACACGTGACTGGTTCATCAGTTAGACGACACCATCCGCCATGTTCGCCTTACTCCATTCGCACGAAAAATTTCTCAGATGGTCGGTTTTTCCATACAATGATCTATTCAGGACAGGAGTACACAATAAAGCTCACCGACGCAGACGCGTCTCCGAGATGACACGCAGCGAGTCTCGCGCACGATCCATCCACCGCTCTGCAATACAAACCAAGCACAACACCACACCATCAGCAGATTGTACACACTGCATCAATGAACACAATCAAACGGTGCTACCTGCTTCCTCGGCGACTTGACGAAGCGTCTGAGCCTCCTCTTCGCTCTGTATCTGCAGTCGTCGCAGCTCCTCCATTTGTTCACTGCATCGGCGGCACTAATTAGGACGAATTCGACCTTATCTTGCTGCGTATAATGCTCAAACGTACATCTCAGTCTTATCAAGTCCTGGGAGGTCGTCAATGAGCGCATCAGTCTCTTGCACCATCTTCAGAACATCGTTGGCCAGCGTCGTAATCTGTCCACACAGCACCGAGTATATCAGCCCCTAAGTCAGTATACTGACTATGACAATCCCTCATCAAGTAGCCCCACCGCGTCCTTAGTTTCTTGTTTCTTGGTGTCGTCTCCAGTCGCGGCCGGCAGCAGTCGAAGCGCGTTGAACATACTGAGCGCCATCTTATCGACGCTTTCCTGCAATAACGACACCTTATCCAAAGTTACCGCGCCCGAATCCACTTCATCCGTGTCCGTCATATTCACGTCGTCGCTCTCGCCAAGCTGCATCGCTGCAAGCTCTTCCTTGACGCCGTCGGCCTCCATAAAGTCACTTGATAAGCAATTAGAGAGTTTTTTAGATTATTGCTAGCGTTTTTTAAGCAAAATATTACTGAAAGTACTTTATCTGTAATTTTTGTACAGCTTACAAATCGAAGAAATTACTGGATAGCGCATGACTTTTTCGCTATTCGGCAGAGCACCATGTCATGATCTGAGTACTATTGGCATTACTGTTCCATTGCATTAACAGAGGCATCGGATTGATAAAGTGTTGTATTGATGAATTGAGATGACAATTTTTCGTCGGGTAGTATGGTACTATTGCCTTGTAACCCGATGGAAATGTCAAAGGTCCCAAGTATCCGTGAGGTGCGTCAAATACCCTGTGGTACCGCAAGCTTTTCTTGCTGGACAATGAGGCGTCTGTCAATTAGGAAGGCCTACTATTCAGAAGAAACTTTGACGGCAATTCCTACATTGCTTTCTTTAGTAGTCGAGATTGTGGATTACAAGAATGACAACAACTGATGGACTTTTCGCTGGATGACACAGTCTCGTTGTTTATCATTATCAAACAACAAAAAGATTACAAAGTAAATTGTTGCTTGTCAAGAGCAACAGTATCTCGAACTAAGTGATGACGTATCTCAACAGGCTATGAAGACGCTACTTGTCAGGCGGAAGTGTAGCATGTTTCATTTCGATCTGAGGATTGCTACTTCACAACCACTTTGTTCGGCTTATGCATTGATTGTGGCAATCGCGATTGCAGTGATAACGAAAGTCAGAGCTAGGAATCCACTAGCGAACGGAACCGAGCTTATAAATGGTTCCGTGAAAGCAGTAATGGCAGCACCAGGAAATCCCCACACACCTTGGCAGTAGCGACTGCCAATAACTTGGAACCATGACGGAATGGTCAATCCAAGCAGAAAGCCAAATAGTCCAGCCACGGCAAAGATGAAGTCAAGACGCTTAAACATGACGGCGAACAGAATGGGAGGCGCCGCCACTGATAGTCGACAAAAGCTACGCGTGAGACTCTCACCAAAGCGTGCAGTGAGATGAGACGGGAACGACATGAGCATATTGTCGCCTACGGTGACTCCCACCATCGGGTACGCAGACACCACGTTGACTACAGGAAATAGCAAAATAATCAGCTGCACAATGGTGCCTAGCGGGTTTGAATAATTGCAGTCCTCCCATCCGTTGCCACAGCCTGTGTACGAACTCCACATCAGAGTCGCTAACGGGTTGATCTTATCGAAAGAAAGCGCACCAAGAAGACCCACTAGGAGATAACACGTGCCAGCAATTAGGAGCGCCGCAAACGCAACGAAGCGCACCTTAGACTTGGGGTTCAGTGGCTGCAGTGCATCCGGCATGTTGTACTGGCAATTGAGTGCCAGCAACGTCGGTCCAAAACCTTTGCCAAAATTCTCCCAGTTCACTAGTCCAATTGCAGAATAGCGTGATGTTATAACCTCCGATCCGTCAGCAACGACTTTAACCGTCATCGTCACCAACATGAGCGCAAAGGCCACAATGCGGTAAACGGATAGAAACTTCTGTACAAGAGCCTGGTCGCTGATGTCCATGAGCACCATGGACAGTACAATCACCGAGAAGATGGCCATGAACACGTAGTAGCCCTCGAGACATTCACTAGACGGCGAGTCGCCATAAACGTCACATGTTTCTCCCAACGCGTACGTAAAGAAGATTGATGCTGTGGATGATGAAAACACGGACGCATATGACCACAGTGAGCCAATGCAGTACAAGCCCATGACGAGCTGCACCGCCGCCTTGCCAAGTCGCCCCACGAACATTTCAGCAATCGTGGCAAATTCAAATTTGCGATACGTGATCTGATGACGGGGTACACCTCCGCTCGTAGCTGCACACACGCCTTCGGCACGTGCTAAGGACTCGAGCGTGTAGTTCATGGTGATAAGCGAGCCTAGGACGCCGACGATCATGAGCGTAAGGGCGAGCCCAATCCCGGCCTCCATAAAGGCGTAAGGTAGACCAAAGCAGCCAGTTCCGATGACATAGTTAAGTGTCATAGCAAGCGTCACGACTGGACCGTACGTCTTGTGGTTTTCCTCCCATGGTTTACTCAGACTGCCTGGTAGTAAGTGCAAATGCTCATTAATGGCCATCTCGAATGCGTCAAAGAAGATATTGACAAGTTCGTTTTCCTTTCAAAGCTGTTATGCTGATTCAAGGGGGCGGCTGAAGAGGACATGCTTCAGGTTTTTTTCATGTGATTTGGCGGGATCAAGTAAGAAGACGTAAAACACTCTAAGATGTAAGTTGCAAGACCTTTTGCATCGAGTCAACGAGTATGAACTACCACACACGTGCGTTAAACAAGTATACAAAAACGAAGCTTTTGATTACAAAAAAACCACTTGAATTTAAGCATTGAAATTATAATATGCTTTAAGCTTTCTCAACATCTTGATGCAAATTTATGCAACCGACTTAGGAAAACGTATCGTGATATCGATTATGAAATCTGTATACTACAGTGTATACTGTATGATCACTTGTTGTACATATTATATCAGTGACGCAGACATGATCACACCCTCTCAAACACGCTATTTTACACGTCAGGTCCGCTCAACGTCTGACACCTCAACGTCATTCAGCGATCCGCTTTATAAAAGTCACAATCAATTGAACAATGTGGCGTCGTATTCTTCACCCGCTGCCTCGTTCCACGCCCTCACTAATGCGCTTTTTAGCGACATCTCCAAACAACATCAAGATCCAAAAGGTCGGTATGGTAGGTCTAGGTCTCATGGGTCATGGCATTGCGCAGACGGCTGCCACTGCAGGTTTTGATGTCGTGGCATTGGACGCTAATTCAAAGGGGTTACAAAGTGGCATGAAACGTATTGAAATGTCGCTAAGTAAATTACGAGGTCGTGATGTAAAGAAAGGGACTATCACTCAACAACAGGCAGACGACCAGATTGCGGCTGCACTGGCTCGGATCACACCCACAACAGAACTAGACGGTCTGACAGACTGTGACCTTGTAATTGAAGCTATCGTTGAGAATGTGGATGTAAAGAAAAAGTTCTATGCTGATCTAGGCAAAGTGGCCAAGCCAACGGCGATCCTGGCATCTAATACGTCGTCACTGGCCATTTCGGACTTTGCCGGGTCCTCGGGACGTGCACCACAGGTTGTTGGTCTCCATTTTTTCAATCCCGTGCAACTTATGAAGCTCGTTGAAGTTGTTCGCACGGACGTGACGGACCCCAAGATCTTTGATGCTTGCAAACAATGGGTGCTGGATATTGGTAAACACCCAGTGAGCTGCAAAGACACGCCGGGCTTCATTGTTAATCGACTATTGGTGCCATACTTGACTCAGGCAATTTCTCTCTATGAGCGAGGAGATGCCACTAAGGAGGACATTGATATTAGCATGCAGCTCGGTGCTGGTCACCCGATGGGACCGATCACACTGGCAGACTATGTCGGTTTGGACACGATGCTCTTTATACTGGAAGGATGGGTGCGCGACTACCCAAACGAACCTGCTTTCTACGTGCCGGAGATAATTCACAAGAAAGTGGCGGAGGGCAAACTTGGTCGCAAGACTGGAGAAGGATTCTACAAGTGGGACGGTGACAAGCGTCTATAAGTTCCATGAGATTGAAGCAGCTCGATTTTCATGAGCACGAATATATCGACCAGTATCCTCATTGGAAAACATTGAATACCAGCTTCGTTGCATTCGTTTAATGTTCTTACAGTTTACCTACAAACGAGATGGCACCATGCGGGAACACGATGTCTCGACTGGGTACAATTTGTCGACATAGATGTACCAAGTGGCAAACCATGCGCGCTTTTCGGCTTCGCAATTTTGTGAGATCCGCGTAAACAGTGCGCTTTTCAACTCACGTAGTACACGAGGGTTCTTCTTCCAATGATATAGGAGCCGTTCAGCTTCCATTGAGACAGCTTCCAGGATGATCATCGGTGCCATCTTCATCAGTTCAAAGACCAAGCCGGCAAGATATAGTCCATCTGTCTCCCTTGAAGCGACAGTTTCTTTGCTAATTTCTTTAGCACTGTCCTTGACAATTTCCGTTGGTACTAATGCAATAGCCACCTCCTTTTCTTCTTCTACGAGTATATCCGTGCTGCGCTCACAACATTTTCTAATCGCCCACAGCACTAGTTGGCGAGTTGTCTCCACCATCGTCTTGTCAGACCTGGCTGGCATCATGAGAGCTTCAGAAAAAAAGAGAGATCCGAAAATTACTCCGCATGCCTTGGTCAAAGCCTGACGGGAAGCGTTGGCTGGGTATGCGGCCAGTGTGAGTCGCAAGTAATGTGGAAAGACCGTTTGCAGCGGAGCGAACTGCGATAAATGTGAAAGACAAACCCCGATAAAACGATGGCCAAAGGCATCGGCTGGCTCAAAAACATTGTAGAGCACCGAGAACGCAACTGAAAGCGCATCGTTGAGTAGTGGTGTACACTGAAATAGCAAGATACGCAATCTGCGCTGAATGACGAGCCCCACAGCCAGCGACTGGCATCCAGCAATGATGTCTATCTCGGGTGGAATTCCACTGTTCACAGTCATTGAATGCATCGTAACGGAGCACAAGACTGGCGCAAAAATGGTATCTGATGGCGTTGCAGACTGCTCCAATGCTTGCTCCAACTGTTGCGTCACTGATTCCATCGCTGCATTCGCAGTTGGAGACACACTTGCCTTCCGTGCAAACTCCACTCGAGATAGTGCGAGGAATGACCGGACGAGATTACAGGATGATAACACTTTCAACATCGGCGCGATACCTTCATATATTTTCCTGATAAACTCCACGACATCAGGTGCTGAGACGAGCAAATCTTCATCATGGACTACAGGAGCACCTGGCGACTGGAGTTGAAGTAATAATTTATGACGGAAAAGGTCTCTCGGAAGAACCGATTGCATAGCTTGTATTAGGCCAATGTACGTTTCGAGCGAAGTATTAAAAAACCCGATCATTTCCTCGATGCACAATTCCGTCATCCGAAGCAATTGCTCTTGCAGAATGGCATGCGATGGATCAGCAACCAAAATCTTCACCCTTTGATGAACTTTCATTTGATATTCCAAAATCGTTGCACCATCGTATGGTTTCAGGCGGGTCGACATCAGGGGCAAACTTAGAAGTTGCAGCAGCGTAAATTGGCTCAAAATCGTCGCATTTTCTGATCGCAACTCAGCCGCCGGATTACTCGAAAGCCGCGCGTCGTCAAGGTTTGCCAGACCCAGTGCTATAGCGACTCCAGCAATAGGACTGTTTGGTTGAGGATATGGTCTACGTGATAACTCATTCACGGTTGCGGCACTCAACGACTCTAGATACTCTGCCACCTCCTGTCGGCGACAAGTGAAAGTCAAGGCACTTAGAATTACGGCGGTGACAGCTACACTTGCAGCGCTGCTCGTGATCAAAGCAGCACTCTGCTTAGAATTCCCATATATTAACCAAGCATCCGTTAGCACCGGACTGTCTGTCACTTTAGCAGACGAATGAAAGTATTCTCGGAGCGGAGTAGCAACATTGAAAATAAATGCTACTTCGTATCCACGCATCGCAGCGGTCGTCCAGTAAAGAAAAGCTTCAATCAACCTCGGTGCAGCACGACTAACAACTCCAGCTGGAGCTTCATATAGCGGCTTGGCCACCACTGCATCCCACAACTCCCGACTATAGATCACCTGCTTCTCCTTGTTAAAGCGCGTTTTTGACGTTGGAAAATCGTGTGGAGGACGCGACGTCAATATCAGCACCGAGAAACTCTCCTCCTTGTCTCCATTCGCCTCACAGCAACGTAGAACGTCCAGAGTACAACCCAACTCCATCCACAGCATCCAAAGTCTCCAATTTATCGCCTCCATCTTCTTGTGCCAACACAAAAACGCTTGTGAAAATTCTTTCAGCATGGAAAACTCTCTTGACGTATTGTCATCTTCACTTATTCGATACGATTCTTCAGTATGCAATGGCGATGTCGCAATCTGGTGATGGAGACAGTCTAGTACCTGCGTCATAGCTAGGACGATTTTATCTTCTTCGACATGGTTCTCAGCCGTGAGATTCGTACAAGTCACGTCATTCAGGACATCAAGAGAAGAGACAATTTCTTCCATCAAAAGCGTTGTTAGATACCTGCAGCGCGAATCACGAGACACAGCCGTCAAGAAGTATACCTGACTTCGACTAAATAAATGGGTCTAAAAAGTACTGCTATAAGTTATCGTACTTTGAGTTGTTCTTTATGAAGTTTGGTGGGTTTATAGATGTGTGTAATTTATGGCTGCATAAATAACAAATGGGGTTTATATTGACCAATGAGATCCATGTTTAGTATACCAGCAGAAACGTCAGCCTGTCATTCTTCAAGATCCAAAGGTCAAAGCATCACTAAATATGGCGTATCCTTCTTCTTCACTGCCACCTAATGAGGCGTCCTTTCTCATGAACCTCAAGATGCAGGCTCAGCGTCATAGTGTCCTTTCGCTAGTGTTTGCCTTGGCGCTATCTCGCTTTGTGTACCATCGTCGTCGTGGCCACTTGGATCAATTGCATGTACATCGTGCACTCACTCGTCAATTATCAGCAGACTTTGATCCGTGCAAACACGATGCCTCTATGTCTTCTAGTTCAATTGCAGCTCCAGTTGAAGAGTGGCCCATTGTGGCGAAGGACGGTACACAGACACAATCGCTCGTGTACTACCCCATGCACAAGACCGAGCACAAGACACTGGTGCTGATCATCCCGGGTAATCCAGGTGTTTCATTCTATTACTTGCCACTGATGCAAGATATCTATAAGAGCGATAAACAACGTCATGAAATTCGCTGTCTGTCGCATACTGGTCACTTTATGCCATGGAAAAATAATGGACGAGCGTTTACGTTGCAGGAGCAGCTAGAGCATAAAGCTTTTTACTTGCAGCAACGACTGCATGACGACCCGACACTGCAGTTCGTAATCATTGGCCACTCGATCGGCAGTTATTTCTTGCTCGACATTGCGAGGCGATTTCCTCAGCAGATCGCTAAGCTAGTGTTGATGCAACCGACAATCATGCACATGGCCCTGTCTCCCCAAGGCAAGCGGATGATGCCTTTATTTAACCACTACGAAAGTGTAGTGTCGCTTGTTGGTGCAGTGGAGTTTCTAGTGCCTTCGTTGCTACGTCACTGGATTGTCCGGCGTGTTGTGGGCTCCAAAACGTCCGAAACGCTGCAATTGGCTTCACTGTCACTTGTGAACACGTATGTCATGCGCAATGTTCTTGGAATGGCTGCTAACGAGATGAAGGACGTTACTGAGTTGGATAGTGATTTGGTGGCAAAATTTGAAGACAAGATCTTGTTCGTCTATTCGACGGTGGATGAGTGGGTGCCAGCCGAATTCATGCAGGAGTACCAGGTCCGCTTCCCGAATGCGCGGCATCGCGTTGTGCCACAAGGTCATGCCTTCATGATGGAGACCAATGGTACGCGCGATATGGCGGCGCACATCTTACAATGGATTGATGACGTTCTCGACAGCAAGCAGGTGCGCAAGATTGACGCAGTGGCAGCGTAGTCTTGCCATCATAGCTTTTTATATCGCTCTGCGTGTCTAACATCAAAATTGCGTAGGTGATGCAAATGACTAACACTACGAATCATTGATACACAGTTTCGTGGAATCTTGAGTATCTAGGATCCTGATAGTTGCTATTACTTACCTCGTAATTATCCTTAGTATAAAGCTCAAATAAGCGTCTCGGACATTTTGAAGCCTCAACACATGACTGACGTAGCAACGGAGGAGGGCAAAAAATGTCGTTGTTGATGCTTCAAATTAGAAGTATCCACGATTCCGTTAGTATGGTCAATGCCCCAGTCTTCAGTAGTACCCGTAGAGTCCATGGCACAATCGGCTGGGCTGATAAGTATCCTTTTTTTAGCTGCCATCGCCACTTCTCAGCAATGTGGATACCGTTGGCTGGCGTAAATGAACCCTTGCAAAAACTCTTCCACCGCTACGGCTGATTGACACATTAGCCGAAATGGCTATCATCGTTCGGTATCCCTTTGTCGAGTCTATCAAATCATGACCACGAATGCGTAGACGCACGGCGTGATAACTAACGTTAGATCAAAACAATAAATATACTCCATTCTAATCAGGCCATGGTCAAGAATACGACCAAAAACGGAAATGCTACGTAAATATCGCTAATCACGCGTACTCCGATGAGCCAAGTAAAGCATTGCTTAAACTTCGTAAGGTGACGCTTTGACGCCGAGGGGCGTCGGTTGCGGCTCAAAACAAATTGGAAATTGTTCCGATTATGAAAAATTACATGGCGACTGAAATAAAACTGTAGTCGATGCAAAAACAGCATTATCGTGTCTTGGATCTGCAAAGATGCTGGATCAGTCGAAATACTTTGCAAAGGTTGGCAGAGTCTTATAGATGTGATTTTATACTTCTGTAATTAATGACTGCAGTCGCCTGTGGCCAAGTTTGCAAACTTGTCAAGGATTTTAAGTTACCGTCTTCGGTTTGCTTACTGCCAGTGTGAGGATCGGGTGATTGTTGTAGGTATTTGGCTTCAAAACGGGTATATTTCTGACTTGTGTGCTTGCGCAGAATGCAAACAAGGACAGCTGGATTCTATACTCACATACAAAGGGTAAAGTGGAAGAGAACATACAAAATTGATATCTGAGAAGACGTCGTTTTTTCGATTGGGGCGGTTAATCGTGGGGAGCTTGCGTGTACCATCGAGTCCGTCGCGAGTTACCTTTTATCAAGTGTAGAATGCCTGAACAAGTAGTTTGTTTTTGGCTCAGATCTGGTGTTGAATTATAACATTGCTGGCTAGGTTTGCGTAAGAAATTGTCAGGGCGATGGTGTCGATTACGAAAGGGGTGAAGAGCGTTTCACAGAGTGGGTGTGATGCTGATCTGAAGCAACACGAACCTACACTATGTTACAAGCGAGAAGCAACCGAGCTATACACTGAGATGTTTAGGCAAGGACTTTCTTAAGATATTTATTGTTATGTCGCAATGGGGACAGTGGTCAGACAATGGGAATGAAGTTGTCAAGTGTTAATTAAGGAATGAGAAGAGTGCATGACATCAATCAAAGAAGATCATTTGAAGCTACTCAAACAGAAGTAATCGCTTCTGCTTGTTGTGTATCGTGGTCTTGATCTATCGTAAAACACTTTCTCATTAGAGCATCTCTTCCCGTTCTCGGCATTTATACCTTCAAAAATATATTATTCTACACCCTCATTTTGTCACAGTATAGACACCACACACCATTACCAAAATGTCTTCGTACGTAGCGCTCGTGATCGGTTCCACCGGTGCTGTAGGTCGTGATCTGGTCGCAGAACTCGTGTCCTCCGCCAAATGTACAAAGGTCATCGCTCTTACGCGTCGGGATGTGCCGGAGTCTGCGTGGAAGTCGACGTTCCCGTCGTTGGACGCCGACGCGGCTAAGAATAAGTTGGAAGTGCGAAAAGTGGACTTCAACAGCTTTTCCGAGGAAGATATCAAGCCTTCCGACAAGGTGGATGCTGCTTTCTCATGTCTAGGAACGACACGCAAAGATGCCGGTTCAGCTGAGGCCTTTCGCAAAGGTAGCGTAGCTTTAAAAGTCGATAAAGATGTCTAAGTGTTGTGTGTTCTAGTATTGATACTTTTCCCTTGCTACAGTGGATTTGGACTATGTAACGACCTTTGCTGAGCTTTCCAAGGCGGCAGGTGTATCGTACTTTGGGCTACTGACGTCTCAGGGCGCAAACAAGGACAGTTGGTTCCTGTATCCGCAGACGAAGGGTCAAGTGGAAGCTAAGGTGCAGCAGCTTAAGTTTGAGCGCATTTCCATCTTCCGACCTGGAATGCTGCAGCGTGGAGACTTGCTGCGTGGCACGGAGAAGATGTTTGGCTGGATGGTCCCGGGGGTGAGTTGTTGGTATATAATGGCAAACTTGCATTGACGGAAGATTTAACTGAGTTTGGTGGTGTAGATGTTTCAAGTCTCGGTTAAAACTGTGGCAAAAGGCATGGTGTTTGACTACGAGAATGGTGCTGAAGGTCTTAAAGAGTGGAGCCATGCCGATCTAAAAAAGCTGGAGTAATAAGCGGCTCTGTTGCAAACGAGAAGCAGTAGCTACCGAGGTTTGTCGAGCAGGTGGCATAAGGGGCGTGTGCTTATAAAGTAACAAGCTTAGGAATATTTGCTACAGCGGAGATGGCCTAGTTGTATTATCTGCTACAAAAGGTATCCACCACAAAACTTCAGCTTGGTTGGATTAGTATGTGCTGTTCACCCACCTCAAACATTTCTTGCGCACATCCTCGTGTTTCCACCTACCATGGTCGTAGTTGCGAAGTAACAATGCAGGTTGTCCAAACGGCTGAAGGTTTCTACTACGCTTTCAGCTGTTTCATATATGTACGACGCTTTTGTCAAGTTCGATGCGGTTTGAATCCTTCCAAAAGTGTGGCAATGTCCTGGTAGGATCTGGCCCAAGCAACTCAACCGTGCATGATCGAAACTTACACTCGGAATTGTAGGTGGCATCGGTCGGTTCTTGTATCAGACCTGAACCAAAACAAAAAAATATGCCACCAACTTTGCGCGAAGTGGCTAAGCTTACGCAAGCATAAGGAAGATTATTTAGTAATGACAAGCTGCCTGGCATGGACGAAGTACTTCAGTGCAGCTATCAGGAGTACTCGTTTGAAAAAAACTTGCATCATGCTGATGGCTTGGTGGATTCTATGAATGTAATTAGATCTTTCGCTCGTAACTCACAGAAGTCCCTTGAGGTAACACAAGAATAAGGTCACCACTCATATTTACTGATTAGAGGAAAAGACTAGCGTCCAGAGGCCGTGGAGCTGCCTTCACACGTCCATTTCAGGCTTCCGTGAAAATTTAGAGGCAGCATCGCTCCAATATAACATCATCCGTTTCGACCGACTTCAACGGCACGACATTGTCGGTAATATTTTGAGCTTGATTGGGTAGAGTGACGCAAATTACCGCGAGGAGGGTAGCGAAGAATACAAACTTGACCATCGTTGTCGTTGTTGATTTAGTGTTACTTGTGTTTGGCAAGGTGGATTGCAATATGACATCAGTGAAAACCTGTGTCCTCCCTGACTGGGTTGTACTTTGGTGCTTTCAAAGCTGAATATTCTTGCTCGAGCAAACAGCGGTACGAAATCGGTCATCCACAACCTTATGAAGATGCTTCGTGAGCGTTGCACTATTGACTGGTATGTACTATGATCCCTTTAATGTCGTCTACCTGCTCGTTGAGTTGTTTATGGCTGCCCTGCCCTCAAATTGTCATGTGTCTACTCGAATATGAAAGAATATTGAAAATTCGGCGATGACCAAGTCTGTTACGCGCCAGAAGCTAGTCTAGATAACATGCACCATGCGAGTAATCATCACGGCATTGGTTGTCCCAGACGGAGGGATTGGAGACGATACAAAAGCAGCATAACAGTAACAAGGCTCGATCTGTAAGACCACATGTAAGCAGTGTTTGGGTTAGCTTATCTTTCGCAAGGTCAGCAAGTGGAGCGTAGTGGGTAAATTGTATATCAAGCCAATGTGTGGATAGCTGGTCGTTTTTCAGGTCAAAATGTAAGAAATTAAAGAGTACCACTTATGTTTGCCTGGTAGAATCTATCACACCATATCGCTATTGCAGCATCAAGTTCTGGTTTGTCGTCTTGACGAGGTCGGACCAACGATTTGAGAAAATTGTGTCACGCGAGATTGGCTGTTGTGGTTTGTTGTTGAGGCTTGCTTTATAGGAATAGACATGCGAGGCTTGACGTATAGGGCAACACTTTTATTCTTGGGGAGCTGCGATGTGAAGTGTAAACCAAAACATAGCATGACATCGACATTAATCGCTTGCATTAGACCTGAATCGCAGAGTGATACTCAGGATTGGAAGCACTGCTATCACCATGTGAATACTCACAAATGATGACGCATTCTACCGCTGTTTGCTCGAGCAAGAAATATTCAGCCTTGAGAGCACCAAAGTACAACCCAGTCGAGGAAGGCACAGGTTTTCACTGATGTCATATTGCAATCCACCTTGCCAAACACAAGCAACACTAAATCAACAACGACAACGATGGTCAAGTTTGTATTCTTCACTACTACCCTCCTTACGGTCATTTGCATCACTCTATCCACTAAAGCTCAAAATATTACCGACAATGTCGTGCCGTTGAAGTCGGTCGAAACGGATGATGTTATATTGGAGCGATGCTGCCTCTAAATTTTCACGGAAGCCTGAAATGGACGTGTGAAGGCAGCTCCACGGCCTCTGGACGCTAGTCTTTTCCTCTAATCAGTAAATATGAGTGGTGACCTTATTCTTGTGTTACCTCAAGGGACTTCAGTGAGTTACGAGCGAAAGATCTAATTACATTCATAGAATCCACCAAGCCATCAGCATGATGCAAGTTTTTTTCAAAAGAGTACTCCTGATAGCTGCGCTGAAGTACTCCGTCCATGCCAGGCAGCTTGTCATTACTAAATAATCTTCCCTATGCTTGCGTAACCTTAGTCACTTCGCGCAAAGTTGGTGGCATATTTTTTGTTTTAGTGTAGGTACTTCTCGCGTTGAAAATTAACCAGCAATAGTATAGTCAATACCAGAGCCTGAATGTACTGATAGCTGCTTGCCAATCCAGTCACGAAATGCTTCTAAAGCTGCTGGATAGCGAGAAAGTAGACGTCCAAGCATTGGTAAGCTAAACATCTTGTTGGTCTTAATACCTTCGACCGGGTGATTGAGGGACGATCATCGCTTAGCACCATCAGGACAAGATAAAGGGTAAATGTGACAGACAGCGCCACGACGACGGGGTCGACTAATCGTAAGTGTGTATTTTTGTTAGCGCAAGCAAAGGTACGACATTCAGATACCATCCAGTTTTGTGCTCGATCGGTAACAAATAGATGATTAGCATACCGACGGATCTATGTGGGGACCACGTATCATCTATGATACGAAAAATGCTAGGAATCTTCGACCATTTTTGCAATAATGTGGATCGTCCAATTGTCTGCTTCTAGTATTTAATCGACAATATATAACGGTTTTGTTGAGTTGTATAACTTCATCCCAGGATAAATCTAGATACAAGCGACCCATTGGGGTCTAAATACTGGCGAATATTTCATCAGTGTTCATTTGGTTATTAATATAGTTACTCGTGGAACAAATGGCATAATTTTTATTATACAGCTAAGTGAATATGTCAATACAGTCAGTATATTAACTCAATTTTACTTTCATCTACTATATTTATACTTTGAGCTGCCACGTACCTAGAGACTAACATATTGCGAGCAACCTACACCGTTCATCTTTATGAGTGTGGATTCCCGGATAGTGTGTATTCGTTTTGTGTGGTCCACGCTATTAAGTGTGAGCACCACGTCCAATCATCGAACTCCGCCACGGAGTTGCATATGCAGTTGCCTCCATTGTAAAGACGTAATGCATCCAAGTCTGTTCTCAGCGTCGCCGATCGAAGCTGCATTAACGCGGTAGAACGCGCGCATTGCTGCCCGTTCTGTCAAGGGTGAAGGTCAGTGGTGAAGGAGCCGGTGGTGAAGGATCCGGTGTAGATGGCGTTCGTTGAGAAGGAGCCGATGGTGATGGCGTCGTTGGTCATCCCAGAAAGCGCAAGCTTTAGCAGGTTGTCACAATCTCGGATCGAGTTCGGGTGATGCGGTAATTGATTAATGATGCCCTGAGAAATGGTGAGAAGGGTGTCAATGTGAGAAACATTGCCAAGTTCCGTCTTAATTTCGCAGCGAGTACAAAGTAGGTCACCTTTCATTTGACCCTTTGTCAACGACCCCGTAATGATATATTAAATTCTTGCAGGCTAATCACATGAAGGCGGCCCAGTGGTGGAAAGAACGTGAGAATGTGGCTGATTACAAAGATTTTCACCAGAAGTGTAACGGGGCTAGAACGTACCGTCACTAACTTACACGTGCGCTTGAGGAAGACTCAAGCCCAAGTAGTAGGTATCAAACAAATTTAATTCTGATTTTCTATTTTTCTTAATTCGTACTAATTACGAAGGTTTCAGTCGTATTAAATACGATAGTGTTCCCGCCTTTCGGGAACCACATAATTTCAGGTTGATTTATCGTTGGTCCATACTAAGACTTTAGGCCCCAATAATAAACCAATAATAAATTGCCATGCTGTGCCCGCTCTTCGGGCCCAGTACCTGCCTACATCTGTATTTGTTTATTCATGTAATACTATGTGTGTAATGTGGCCTATTACAAAAAGTCAGTTTCTGGTCTCGGAAACTCGACCCGTAAGATCCCCCTTCTCAAGGCAGTCTCTGGGCGTGGGTGGACCTAAGACCACTCCACGGGTTTTACAGACACATGATGACCTCTACTTGGAGTTCCTCCGCTTGAAGGCAATGGGTGTCAAGTTCTTAGCTCCGTCCTGCGGCTTGTTCCCAAAGGTGTCATACTACAGAGCGATTCGGTGTACAACAGCGCTTTGATTGATCCGAAAGACCAGAAGCCAATCATGGAAATAGTCACCCCTCGATCCAGATGTTCATATTATGTATGACGTGGATCGGCCGTTGACGGTTAAGTGCACTAATGATACTGGCCGATTCATATTAGGAGCGCAACAACATCGTGAATCGCAGCCAGACGGGGAAGCTGTTGGTCAGCCCGCAGAAGCTTGATCACATCAAGTGATCAGTTGCCTACCACTTGGGGGTGCTTTACCGCGGATTGAAAAGCTAACAGTACAATGAGAACAAAATGCAGAATATGGACGAGACACATTTCGTCATAAATTGCAGTCGATGGACTCAATGGATCAACTAAGCGGGTCTGACATACTTATATTGTTGTGTTTAGACAACATCAATACACTAGGAATGCGCGTAGCCACAGAGATGAAATATGCCGATGTCGTGTCGGGCGGAGAATCGATGACGATGATAATAACTATCACGGGTGCCCCCCAAGCTCGCATCGTGGCCCCGATGATGATCTTTATGAACAAGAACAGGAGCTACCCCATACAAGGCGTTTCTGCCACCATCTCAGGGGCGTCCAATCGTACAAGTCCTAAAGCCTGGAATGATTAACAGGTAAGATGCCTCTATTCTGCCGGACATGAGCAATGCAGTTGACCACTGCAACAGGTGTTCCCGTTGTACATGAAGGAGCGCCATCACTACCCACTCGATTCACGCCGAAAGAGAATAGACTTGTGGGTCTACAATTGTGGCGGCCAAAACGCCTCTTAAGAGCTGTGCCGTGCGCTGGCTGAAACGAACACAGCCATCCATTTCTTCCCGCCGTGTGCGACTGATTTAGTTCATCCCGCTGACTCGTTTGTTATCTCCAAAATCAAGGACGAATGGACCCGTCGCTGGTATATCAAGAAGCTCAAGCTGATTAAGAGCAATGAGTGTTCTCACAACGTCCGTGCGGACGGGTGCTGGTCAGGCAAGCTCATGAATCAAAGGGGAAACATATTTCCCTTAGTTGGCCGCCGACTGCGTTCGTGCCGTATTCTCGATGCGCGACAACGCCGGGCTGACCTACGCTCAAAATCTATGATCTGTTGTGGTCTATCTCTAGACGCAACGGGCTTCTGGTACGTGAAGCAGCTTAAACCCGAGTTTCAGTCGATTATTGCCAAGTACGAGAATTACTACGAGGGCGAGTTGGTTTTTCCACCTGGTGTAGCGGCCGCTAGCATGTAAGGAACTATCGTAGTAAGACCCCATTCAATACAGCACCTTTCCGGAGTGTAACTGAATGGAAGAAAGGGTGGAACTGACTCTCGGCCTCATAGTGCTTCTCGTACTTGATGATGACGGCCTAAAGTTCATACGAATTGACCGCCTCCGCCCTCATCTTCGCAGTCGAACATCGTTACGGGAATGCACATATTTAGTGTGAATTCCTCAATGGTCTGAACCACACTATTTTTCTTACCCCCTATTCAGTTTGAAGTTACTATTCGTGTGGTCCACACTAATATTTGTGACCATACCCCATATCGCAGATACCTATTAGTAAGGACCGGTTCTGAGTCGGACGCGGTTCTGAACTAGATCACTGTCATTTTATCCATAGTCGTGCTGAAATTTGGCGGTCTGATACCGAGAACCATATTGTTCATTTGCGAGCTGTTCTCGAGCGCATGCGCACTAGTAAGCTATATGCTAATGCATTTGAGTGCATCTTCATCTTCAGTGCCGAAGAGATTCCCTTTTTAGGGTGCTTCATTAGGAATTGAGGCTTCAAAGCGAATTCCACTTCGCGCTTTGCTGGAGTCCGGCGCGACAAACAATTTTGTCCGCTTTGACACTCTGTAGATCCTCCCCTCGCGAAGGCGTGCCCGCGAGTCTCCTGGGGACCACACTAGTTACGATAGCATCGCCGTGTAAGCCATAAAATACCGATCCTAGCTAGGTGCACGTGCTTAAAGAAAAGATTGAGACAATCAGGGCTCACTATTATATTTCTCGACACATTATTTAGTTCTTTGAACACATTTCAGTAAAAGAGAAGCATTTCAAGCGCATCTTAATACAATATTGGGTGTGTTAGAGCCATTAATAGTGATGGGGCTAAAGCTTCGTTACTTACACACACTATAGGTCTTATGAGGAAGCGTAGGGCAGCACGCAATAACCAGCGTGCTTACGGTAAACTTCGACTCTGATTCTCACTTACCTGCAAATTGAGATACGAATGGCTACACCCGCTATCTCGGGTGTAGCATATAACTACTTATGTAATATGAATGAACTATATCTACTTGTGTAACGGTACACCTCGTTTTTTGTTATATAGGCCAGCCGGTACATTTAGACTTCTTTAGCGGCTGATACTTGTTTTCTTCGGCAGGGCTTATTAATCCTCTAACCGGTCATGGCTATCGTGCTATGAACGGGCGGTTTGTTAACCGGATGTTCTGGGTGCCAATTAGTCCGGATAGCCCCAATCATTCTGTTTTGTGGTTTCATGCTTTTACAAGAGGCCGTGCTCACTGGTACTAGGGTTCCCGGGGGGTACCAGTGAGAGAAGTGTGTACCACATTATTTTTCGACCTTGGGTTGGTCCAAGGGGGATTTGAACCTGCGCCACTACGACACAGGTCGGTGCTTACCCAAGGCATCAGGGGGGAACCCCAAAACGGTACACCTCGTTACACCACTCCCACACAAAATAGCACGCACTAGTGGGTGCGACAAAACACAAAAAAGAATTTGACTCAATCAAAACCACGACATCAGGACGCTTGCAGACAATCATGTACAGGAACAACACCAATGGAACCACTCCAACACGGCAAACGAGATACGACGGTGAGCAACTCCTGCCACCGTCCAACGTGGCGGTTCCCAACCATCCGCGAACATACGCGAAAGTCTTCACGCCTGGGAGCAGTACGACTGCAGCGGAATCGAACGTTCGCGTGACGATGAAGAGATGCGCGAGATGTGACGACGATGGAGACGTACTCGGGAAAACCGACCTCAACTACTTATGCCGTAAGACAAGCTTCGCTGGACGAGTCTTGGACCGCATTCATCCGCCGGTGGAACACCGAGACGTCCTTTGCCGAGCTCGGACCTTTTCGCGAAGAGCAACGTCGTCGTTATGGGCTCGCGGAGACACGAGAGCGGGTGTGTGAGTTGTCTTGGGCCGCGGACCGTCCTTCTTGATTTGTGCACGGGCAAGAAAGTTGTCATCATTGTGAGCGCCATGGTGTAGCGAGGCCAAATTACGCTCAATGGACGGCCATTCTTGGCGATTGCCCAATTTTTCGAGGGAGAGCGCACGTGTATCGTCAGGTATCAGCAATTGCGTGATGAACACATACGAGCGCATGGGTGGACTTGAATGGTTGTGGGCGTGCGTCAAAACTCTGCACTGACCCCAAGAACTCTTTCTCGAACGACGAGGTTTCCAGCATCTCGGCCTGCACAACGTTCTCGATAAGCGAGCCCTCCAATATCGCGATCTGCTCGGCGCTCGCGATCCCGCTCACCTCCCGGTCGTAGTCGCTCACAAATTCTAGAAAATCTGCGAGAAGGGTTACGCGAGCTTCCCACGTATTGCTATCCGGTGGAAAACCGAGCCAGCGAAAGCGATAATATCGCGTTTTCGGGACGTGAATTTTCTAAAAAGCGGGAAGCGCCATGAACAGTGTGAGGCGGGTCACGATGTTCCAAGATTCTTTCCACAAGCCAACGTCGATATCCAGCGCTGTCATCCAGCAGGGGTGGACCGTCGCGCTTAATAGCAACGTGCGGCACCGGAGTCTAAACGACCGGTGCCGACTTCTTCGGTCGTGGCGCAGCTCCAGGAGGTTGATCGACGGCTGACGTCCATAGACTATGATGCAAGCCAAGCATGGGAGGTGGTTGAGGATGCGGAGAGTCTCGTGGATGAGGCTTCTTCTGCGATTCTTGGGTTCTCTCAGCGGCTCGAGCGCTTGGAGCAGTCAAATGCTGCTCTTCGACAGTACAACGCGTAGTTGCGCGGGATGCGCCAGCCTGATCCTCTAAGAACTCCGCGTTATTGTGGACTGCGCTATTCACCTGCGTTGGATCTGTCGTCGACGGGAGGACCACGGGCAAGTAACGCTTGAGTCGTCCGACGTAGATTGTAGGGTGTAGACGCATCGACGAAGGGATGTCCAGTTCGTAGGCATCCCTGTTAACCTTCATTACCTTAAAAGAACCTTAATACCGTGATGCTAATTTCGGTCTGCCGAGAATCGTAACTTATGCGTCGTGTTTTATTGCCGTCGAAAGTAGATTAATTACCAGCCTTAAACTTCTTAAGGCTCTTGTGTCCGCGATGGTCTGCGGACGCCTTCTGCTTATCGACCTCAGTGGAAATGGCGTCGCGCACAAATCGCGCGACAGATTGACGATGTATCACAAATTTGTCGATCAACGTAGAGTCCGACATACGGACTCTCGATGGAGACTTAGCTGCGCTATCCGGAGGATAAATGTTCGGTGACTTGAAACGCAGTTTCACCGCATGTAGCGAGTCGGTCAATGTATTTCCCGAGGATGTCAGTGGCACCGAGACATCCGATGCCCCTCCCCCAACAAGATTAGAAGAATCGGCCAAGCCAAGAAGAGCCCGGACGCGCGGATGGCGGGCGTTATTCAAGTAAAAGGGAGCTACACCAGTCGAAGCGTGAGCAGCATTGTTCATCGCGAACTCAGTAACACGCTCCATGACGTAAAAGACGTGGCATAACTGCGCAAAAAGTCCCCCAACACGCGATTGACTCGCTCGGTCTGTCCATCCGTTTCAAAGTGCGCGGTGGTAGACATCATCAGCGAGTGCCGAGAATCTCGTACGAGGTCGTGAATCGAGGACGCGATCGGATACAATCGCGCGGGCATGCCATGATGTTTAAAGACCATGTCTACGAAGAGAGCACGATATCGTTGGCCTTGATGGAAGCAGCGACAGGTTAAAGAGGCGCCATCTTACTAAACCTGTCCACGATCACTAGGATGCCTGTACGCCTCTGTGCATCGGATGGCAATTCAAAGAAAAAATTTATACTTTCGGAATTCCAAAGTCTCGTGGCTATCGGAAGAGGGCAAACAGGGGCCTGTGCCGACGGGGCCGGCTGCACACGCTGGTACACCTCACAGTATTGAACCCACTTGCGGACCCTGGGGCTAATAGAATCTCCGAGAAAGCGCGAGATACGTCTTGTCGAGATTCAAATGGCCACTGCTAGCGCTATCGTAGTGCTTGAGGAAAACACGGGCACGAAGATCGTTGTCGAGTGGAACGACGATACGAGGAGTATCAAACTGATCAATTTGATACATGAACAACTTGCTATCGAAGGAGTACCGCACAATGTGGGCACGAGTGAAAGCCGAGAGCGAGCGCAATGATTCATCCGAGGGGTTGCTACAGTAGTGGACGATCGGTGAGTAAAACACATCACGTGAATACGTCTCTGCGATGTCATCATGTTACGGGTTGACTGCCGACACAGCCGTAGTATTAATTTCAAGCGTCACACGCACGATTCAATCGTCGTCATCGGCTTCCGTTTTGGCCACTGCCGGTGTATCGTCGCGAGGATCATAGTCGGGTATCCGCGATAAAGCATATGCGATGATGTTTGTTGATCGAAGATTGTATGAATCACAAGTTGTACTCAGCGAAAAATGACAACCAGCGCGGCATGCGCTGGCTGAGATGCGGGCTCTTAGTCGCGGTTTGTAAGGGCGCATGATCGGTATAGATGATGAACGTCTGCTTTATAAGCAAGTAAATACGGAATTACACGAGTGCGTAACGCATCGCTAGCATCTTCTTGCCGTGAATTGGGTAATTGCGCTCGTCAGGTTTTTAGTGCCGAGATTGGTAACACGCCACACGTTCGTTACCATTTTCATCATGCTGCATTAACGCACATCCTATAGCGAAGTAAGTCACTCGCATCGCAGACAATATAAAACGGGGTGTAATGATTATGCGGCCCTATCGAGAGCCTCGACTTGATCTCGTCAAATGCAGAGTGTTGCTCCTGGCGCCATATTCATATGCCGTCCTTCTTCAGCAAATGTGACAGCGGATGCATCACGGACACGAAGTCCTTCGCATATTAATGAAGGTAGTTAGCCAAGCTCAACCATTGACGGAGATGATTCTGGTCCTTTGGGACTGGCCAAGAACAAATTGACGAAACTTTTTTGGG